TCTCAGTCCAGGAGGCCTCCACAGCCGCCGCCGCGGGCACCGCCAGGCCCAGGTGGTTCAGCGAGACTGTCCCGCAGGTGCTGCTGTACGTGGCTCTCCCTGACGTCTGCCACCGGTTCCTGCCCGGCTACGTGGGCGGCGTCCAGGAGGGCGCGGTGACTCCCGCAGGTAACGCCCGCATCAGATCCCCGTCCCCTCGTCTCGGGGCCCCTCCCCTGCTGCTCCTGCCCGAAGGCTTCTCACTCACCGGCCTCATGGCACCAAGAGCAGCCAGGGTGCCCCGGACCTGAGGTCCAAGGTCACGTTCTTCAGTGGAGGGACCTGAGTGGCCACCGGCCCCACCGCTGGTGCCAAAACTGGGCTAGTGGAGCTTCTCCCAGCCGACACCGCGTGCCCAGCACCCCGTGCCCACAGAGGTGGCAGAGGCAGGGTGAGTGTGGGTGGCGTGTTTTGGGGGGAGGCTGTCTGTCCATTCGTTCCCCATGGTCTCCAGGAACCCAGGGGCCCAGAGGGAGGGTCGTTCCCCGAGTCCCACAGGGCGTCCCCACAGCTTCTCCAGCTCAGCCCCCGACTACGGCAGCGCAGGCCGATCACTCAGCCTCTGGTGACCGAACCGACGAGGGCCTGCCCGCCCGCACGCCACTGCACAACAGGGCCAAGCCCCGAGTTCTGGGGGGAGACGTCGGGCAGTTCGGCAGGGCGCCACGCCAGGAGCCCAGGAAGCTATGGCTTAGACCAGTGATGGCGAACCTATGACATGCGTGTCAGAGGTGACACACAAACTCATTTTTTTGGTTGATTTTTCTTTGTTAAATGGCATTTAAATATATAAACTAAGTATCAAAAATATAAATCTTTGTGTTACTATGGTTGCAAATATCAAAAAATTTCTATATGTGACACGGCACCAGAGTTGGGTTAGGGTTTTTCAAAATGCTGACACGCCGAGCTCAAAAGGTTCGCCGTCACTGGCTTAGACCCAAGCTCTCCGTGGCTTTTAACGAAGGTTGTTAAAGGCGGGATCGAGGGGTGGGCGTCAGGGGGCGTGGGACACCCATTGGCTGGTTCTCCGCGAGCCGCCCGGCTTTCGGTCCAGCTGCTGGCATCGCTGTGGCCGAGGAGCCACGACTCCGCACACCGTCATCTTTTAAAATACACACATACCTTTATTGGCTTCAGAGCAGAAGGGAGAGGAAGAGAGAGAGAGAGACACCAGTGCTGAGAGAGAATCGGTTCCGCTGCCTCCTGCACGCCCCCCATTGGGGTTCGAGCCCACAACCCGGACACGTGCTCTGACCGGGCACTGAACCGTGACCTGGTTCCTAGGTCGACGCTCAAGCACGGAGCCGGTCGGGTGTGATGTCGTCTTTAGAGCAAAAGGCAGAAACCAAACACCTTGTGGCTTTGTTAGGGCGAAGCTGTCAGTGCCTGGCGCCCAGCGAGCTCCGTTCTCTGTCATCTCAGCCAAGCGCCCTTTTACTAGCAACCCTCTCCCCCGGACCCTGCCCGCGCCCCTTCGTCACCTTTGGGAGCCGCGTGCTGGCAGCCAAGGCGATAGGACAGTTAGTGCAGGCTGACACCCGCCTCTCAACTCGGATCTGATCCTAAACCTGATTCCTGTTGGCGCCGGTTCTAGAATCAGAACCAGAGGAACCGTCTGGGCCCGCCTCTCCCCAGGTGGGAGGTGCACCCTGTGTCCTGCCTGGGCCTGGAGTCGCCGCAGAAGCCGGCCGCGCTCGGGGCTGGAGTCTGGGTGCCTGAGACCAGAGACCAGGCCCGGAGCAGCCGAGGCCCCAGCGCCCGTGGGGCGGAGCCGGCTGCCGTCAGGGCGGGCGCGCGTTGAGCTCCAGTCTTGCCTCCGCAGGGGTCATCAACAAGTACGAGATCAACGGCCTGCAGGCCTGGCTCATCACGCACCTGCTCTGGCTCGCCAACGCCCGCTTCCTCTCCTGGTTCCCTCCCACCATCATCTTCGACAACTGGATCCCGCTGCTGTGGTGCGCCAACATCCTGGGCTACGCCGTGTCCACCTTCGCCATGATCAAGGGCTACCTGTTCCCCACCAACGCCCGCGACTGGTACGCCCGCCCGCGCAGCTGGTCGCCGAGGGGAGCGCACGAGGCCACCTGGCCTTGCCTGTTCCCCGGGACGGGTTGATTTTTTACAGAGAGGAAGGGAGAGAGACAGAGAGTTAGAAACATCGACGAGAGAGAAAAGTGTCCGGTGGCTCCTGCGCCCGGGAGGGTGAGTGCAGGGGCCTGGCCTGCCTTTGGTGTCTGGGTCGGGAGCAGGCAGGTGGGAAGGCGACTTCTGTCCGCAGGCGAAGACGGCACTCGGCCTCTTTCTCCGGAACATCCGTGTGGCTGGCGCTGTCTTGTGAGGGGACTTGTCATTTCAACGGCTTTAAGAGAGCAGCTTCCCACAGAGTCCTTCCTTTCCCAGGGAAGCCTGGGGTTGGATTGTTGCCACCCACCCATCCATCCATCCGCCCATCTCTCCATCCCTCCACCTATCATCCATCCATCATTCATCCATGTATCCATCCATTTCTCCACCCATCCATCTATCCATCCATTTATCCATCCATCATCCACCCGTCATCCATCTGCCCATCTCTCCATCCATCCATCATCCATCCATCCATTCGTCTATCTATCCATTCATCATCCATCTCTCCATACCTCCATTCATCCATCTCCCCATCTGTGGGGAGCCGGCACGGCCATGGCATACTCAGCCCCAGGGCACCTTATGTGCCACCAGCTCAGCCTGGTTCAGTGACCCTGAGTGGAGGGGTGAAAGGATTGAGAAAAGACAGACAAGAGAATGAAAGCTGGGTCTCGGTGGGACGCCGCTCCCTGATGAGACAGCACCAGTGCCCACAAGCCGTGTCTTTATTCTGTAGCAGATGCCACGAGGCAAAGTAGGGGCGTGATCAGGTTGTTTACAGCATTCTCGTGAGTTCCAACCTCACTCAACTACATGCACCTGAACTCTAGCACAAGGCACGTGGGGCCACGTGTTCGGACCACAGGTTCAAGCTCACAGTTATAACCATTGGCTATGATTGTGCTGGGGGGGCCCTGCCCTTCCAGCTGGGACTTGCACGTGGCAATGAGAGGACCCTGTCCTTTCATTAGTCCGAGGCTTGAACCTGTCCAAACACTGTATCCGCGCCCCACACCCATCCATCCATTCTTTTCTCCATCCATTCATTCACCATGCACCCCAGCCCGCCTCCCCATTTTCATCCTCCCCCTTCCCTCCATTCACCAGCAGATGTTGGGTTCTCCGTAGACAGGGCTTCAGGCATGAATAAGATTCTTGTCCTGGGGGAGGGGAGTGCTTACGTTTTAGTCTGGGGCCCAAACAAAACCAGAGTGTGTTCCTTTGACCTCTGCCGCCCAGACTCGGGCGATGGGCGGACGGTGGCCCAGGGTGGTATCAGGTGGCTCAGGAGGCCGCTGCGCGGCTTCACGGTCACGGCGCCTGCTGCGGACTCGCACGTTTCCTTCTGTCCCCTTGTCCCGAGGGCAGCGGGCAGGACGCTGTTGCCATAGTCGGCACAGAAACCTGTGTGCGCAGTGAGGTACCTCCCGGGCCTCCACCTGGGGTCTGGGCGGAGTCTGGTCACCCCTGGAGAGGCCTGTGGGCTCAGGTAACAGGGCGGCTCATGGTTAAGCTTGTCGGCGAGGGAAGACGTGGGCCGGGCGCTGCACTGGCTCAGGTGCCGTTTTACTACTGGTCTTGGCATCTGGGGTCACTTCCAGTCACACGCGTGCTGTGGACGCAGCACAGTTTCAGTCCATTTGAGCATCTGGGCCTCGCGGGCCCTGGAGGAGGAGGCGGGCACCTGGGCACAGCCCCAGGGAGCCCTAAGCCGGTGCCTGTCTAAGGCTGCCTTGCTCGGCCGGGCGGCTGCGGAGACGGGCTGGGAAGTGGGGAAGCGGGAGGGCGCCGCGCTCTGCGCTCCGTGATGTTCTCCGTGGCTCGTGCCCGCCTCTGCCCAGATCGCCGGCCCCTCAGCACCACGGTGGGCTGAGCGCACGTGCCCGGCGCCCGAAAGAGGCCCGGGTGTGCCCGCCCCCTGGACCGACGGTGTCCTTTATATTTTCCAGCAAATTCACGGGCAACTTCTTCTACAACTACATGATGGGCATTGAGTTCAACCCCCGGATTGGGAAGTGGTTCGACTTCAAGCTGTTCTTCAACGGGCGCCCGGGCATCGTGGCCTGGACGCTCATCAACCTGTCCTTCGCGGCCAAGCAGCAGGAGCTGCACGGCCACGTGACCAACTCCATGGTGCTGGTCAACGTGCTGCAGGTACCGTGTGGCCACTGGGGGCTCCGCCTGCCGGGCACTGGGGGAACCCACTCTCCCTGGGTATGTGTAGGCGCGGGCTGGCCAGCAGGGAGTGGGCCTCCAGTGCCGCCCTGGCCACGCCCCCAGGGCATGCCTGCTCCTGGCTCATGTGTGTTCTGACCACTCCGGACCCGTGAGTGGTCCTGGCCATGTCACATCCGTGGCCTCCGCAGCGGTTCCCACATGCCCCCCCCACCCCAGGTTGTCGCCGTGGGTCTCAGGTGACCTCCTCAGGGTGGGAGTGAGGAGCGTGTTGTACCTCTGTCCCATCTGTGTAAAATTTACACTGTAAATGGACGTTGGTCTCCTCCATCCCGTGGGCCACAGTGTCTCCCGCCGTGCTGGCCACGTGACGTACGTCGTGGTGTGCAGGGACCGCTGGCAGGGCTTGTGCTGGACGCCCCCGTGGGCAGGTCGGCCATGCCACGTGCACTGGGTTATGTGCCCCTCCTAACTGGAGGCCCCAAGCCACCCCCCTCTGCTATAGTCCCCACGGCCTGGCCGTA